CACTTCATGGGAAGACAAAGAACTTTAAAAAAACGACTGAAACTTTAGAATATAACGTACAAAAGTGGCAAACTTCTGTGAAGAATCATTAGTTAATACTTCACCCCTGTTTCATCCAAAAAAGTGTGAAGAAACCGCCCATGCTTCGTCCAGAATGGAGAGCAATGGGAATCGCAATTCAGAATGGTACTGGATTGTTTTCTTCCTATTTTATCAAGAACTGGAGTGGTGTTGGTTGTTCTTTCTAAATTCAGAATCATGCTGGGTTTTCTCCCTAAATTAAAGGAGCAAAAATAGGGAAATGCCAGATGGCAACTCTATGGGATTTTAGAGGGAATTTTGCACCCCCTCTAGAATTACTCCCTTGGAGTAATGGAATACAAAGATACCACATGACTTGGCATAAAAGAAAAATAGAAAGGAAAGTTCTTAACAAATTTTGTGAGATTCTTTAAGAATTCTTCCTCAACTTCCTATATCTCTATTATCATCATTAATCAAGTTAGACATAGCCTAATAGAGTGAAGACCGAGTAGCCCTGCCTTTATGTTGAATTCATATTGTTGATTTTGTGTGCTTGCCTGAAGGCAATTAGTGGCCATTCACACATTCATTTTTGGCTTTGCCCATGGGCTTAATGGGCTGGGCTTTGCTTAGTTTTTTTACCTAGCTTTTGGACTGGTTTGAGGTAGTCTTGGATTTTCACATTTGATTGGCCCATGAGAATTGTACTTATCTCGATAAGTTTTTGGGCCACTTGCCTCCAGTGGGTAATTACTTTCTTACATAAGGGTAAGATGCTAAAATTTAACGAGACAAAGGCAGAACTAGTGTTGTTTCTCCAGCACTTGCATAGGTATGCCATTTTCTAAGAAAACAGGATTTTTTTTGTTTGGGACCATTTCTGCTACATATGTATTTTTTAATGCCATGTAAGCATATTGTTGTTAGCATGAGAAAATATCAAAAAGGACATTTCCTCATACCATGCCTTTTCCAATTTGTAAGATGTGGTCTTAAGAAATGTTTTTCGAAAAATGCCCAACCAAATTAAATCATTAAAAATACAAAAAACAAAATTAAAATCCTCATGAGCCTTTATTGTCTCTCATAAAATCCATACTTATTCTCTAAATAAGGACATTCTTAAATCGAGATAGGATCGGCTGCCCACATAGCACGCCCCACAAGTCATCCCCTCTGTGCATTGAGAATAATCTCCCCATGACAAGTGCATTGAGGGGATGGCTTGTAGGGCATGGTCAATGGGCAGCCAATCTGATCACTCTCTCTCTCTTTCTCTCTTAATAGTCAATGTTTGTAACATTTCCTTTTTCATTAAATTCTTAAATTTCAATTAATCTATTTTACTTCTCTCTAATAAACTAGGGGTGTAAATTAGATGGTTGGGTTAGGTTAGGGCCAACGTAAACATGAATAGTAGATATCCAAACTAATGAAAATACCCAAATTAATACATGGGTACTTACATTAAATTAATGTAGATTTATTTCATGGATTATTTTAGTTCAACAAATTAAATTATTTTTTCCCCTTAAATCTCTATTAATCACTTTTCCCTCTCTCTAATAAATTATGGGTTTAAATTAGATGGATTGGGTTAGGTTAAGGGCCAATCTAAATATGAACCCTACCTTAGACTCGAACTAATGTCAAAAACCAAATTTGCAAGTGAATGGATATTATTCTTATATAAAAGTTAAAAGAAAACATTGCTCCTTTCCATGGATTATTAAGTTTTTCCTCTGTTTTTTTTTTTATTAATTTTGTGGAGATTTGTTTCATGGATTATTTTGATTAATGATAAAATACAATAAAATTAATGTGAACCTTGGTTATTTTCATCAATTCAATTCTGAAATTGTTTTTTTCTTAACTTGGTTATTGATCTCATGCTAAGCTCATCTTTTTGGCTTTATAGGGCAACACACCAGGGGGCAATCCATCCCCCAAACCCTTAATGCCCCAACCCCCATGGCAATGGGATTTGATTCCAAGAGTCTCCTACAACTAGATAGAGAACTCATAAGCTAAGTCACCATCATTTAGTTCTCATGCTAAATAGTTGATTCATGTATTTCTCATAATATGTAAGCTATATACAAAAGAATACGCTTGAATCTCAATAACCAAAAAAGAAAAGAAATTTATTTTTACTAATATTATATATAAAAAAAATAGAAATATATAAAAATTTTGATGGACCGGTGCTGCTTTTTTTCCTCTTAGGCTATGTTTGTTTTTGGTGCAAATGCAAATCGACGTAAAACTCCACCGTTGGTTTGCATTTACACACAATTGTTTTCAATGTAAATATAAACAGGTGTAAAACTTCACAGCCAGTCCATATTTTCACGCATTTGTTTCCTGTGTAAAATTTACATCAATGTAAAACCTTCTAATTGGCTAACTTTTCCATCAATAATCGATGTATCACATCAAAAAAGCTCCAATGGTCATCTAGTTAGATAGGCGCCAAAAACAAGAAGCTACCATAATAAAAGGAGCAAATTTCTTAAAATATCCCTAAGGTTTAGGAATTTGACTAACTCTAACCTTACTGTTTATATATTGTCTTAAGGTACCACTAAGTTTTCTGACAATTTCCATTATCGTTAAATATTTATGAAAAAAGTAAAATGTCAAATTTACCCTCTATTATTTTTAAAATTTTAAAAAATAAAACCCAATTAATAATTGATCACGGACAAATAAGAATCATCCCCCCCATCAGTTATTCCCCCAAAGCTTCTGTTTCAAAAGCAAAACGGTGAAGCAAGAAAGTCACAGGTACAGGTGAAGATGTGAGTTGACGGATTCCAACACGTTATTCCTAGGTGACCTGCGATCTAGAGACTAATGCTGGTATGGATTGAGTTGCAGGAACTGAGCATATGACGGAAGAGTGTCTGATAGCTAATGGATCAACAGTTTAGCCGATGGCGTGTTCGTAGGGAGGGCCACTGAGGGGCGAAGGTGGAGGAGAGTGGAAGGCATACGGGCGTAAAGGGGAAATTGGCCCCTTGATGATTTGTATATTTTCACCATGAATAAGGTAAGCCATTTCTAGCTAGTCATGAGTTATCCCAATTAATATTTTTAATGAGGCATGACTACTAACTAATCAGATATCTCCTTGGAACGACAATGGAATATCGGTATCTTCTTGTCAACTTAAACATAAAGAAATAATAAAATTAGATATGGAATATATATACTGTATTAAGGCATCTTCTCTTTAGCTTGGTTGCCTGTATGAGTAGCAGAGAGAAGAAGATAGGTTTTCAGAAAGAAGACCTGGATTTTATCCTGGAACTACTTACTGATCATGTTCAGTTACCATCTCTTCCTCCTTTACAGAATTATTAAACGACTTGAGAGAGGCTGAGACCACTGTGATAGGCTATGAGAACCACAACCGAATGGCCTGGATTTAGAGAATGATGAAGGTAGGAGTTTTAAAAAAGAAGGGAGAGTGAAAAGATATCCAATTCTCTCATATGGTGGAAAAAACAGAGGATTGGGGTGAGTTTGATATGCAAGAAGAAAGTGAAAAGAAGAAAAGGGTATTTTAGAATTTTTTGAAAAATATATCAGTTATATTATGGGAGGTTAGGGATGCTTTAAGACAATATGTAAATAATATGAGTAAAGTTAGTCAATTTTCTACTTAGGGGTATTTTAAGAAATTTGCTCTAATAAAAATGAAAGCAGAAAAATGAACGGAGCTTGGTTCAATGAGACCACATCCTACCATGCATTGGGAACATCTCCCGTACTTATTAGTTATTATTCACGGGAGATGTTCCTAATGCACGGTGGATGTGCTTGTGAGGCGCCTATTTGTGAGGAGCAGATCCTGCTTTTGGTTCGATGGGAACATCAGTGTATGGATAACTTTTTTATGATTATTTTAGTGTTTTTTTTTTTTTTTTTGTTGAGGGGACTAGCGATACAAGGAGATTGCCTCAAATTGAGTTGGGATCTTTGGCCAGCAAAACACGTTCTAACCTTCTACTAACTTGATCTAATATTGCATATCTCACCATGAGACCGGAACCCATTATAAAAGTGGGACCCGTTTAGGAGTGCAAATGGATTGGATCATTGATCCTATTCGATCAGAGATCTGATCTTATTTGATCGAATTTGGATCACCCGCGGTCAAATCTTTAGATCAGATTGGATTGAATCCTAAAAATCGGATCGGATTTGGATTATCTCCTATCCCATCTGATTCAATGTGTTTTATATTTATAAATATAAATATATATAATACATATATATGTTATTTATAAATATATTATTTATATTATATTTTTATAACTTTATTATATTATTTATTTTCTATAGAAACATGTATATATATGATGAAACTAATTAAAAAGTACTTATATATTTTTTCTTTATTTAAATTGGTATGTTTTATTTTTTCTTTTAATAGTTTATTAATTTTTAAAGAAAATAAATTAGATAAAATCAGATCCGAAGATTCGATAGGATTTAAATTTAGATCGAGTTTTATCAGATCCGATTGAATCCGATATGAATAGTATTGGATCGGATTCAATCCGCTCCGTTTGCGGATAATGTTAGTAGAAGGTTGGAACGTGTTTTGTTGGCAGGTGATTCGTACTCCCCGAACTTATATTATGATAATGTGGCATGTTACGACTGGTCCAGTACATTGGAATATGAGTGCATCGCCACGCCCACGTGATCAGAACTGACTGACATGGTGTATCGTAAATTCGTCATGGCCTTCGGTTACTGCTGTGACCAATCTTAGATTAGATGAAGTGACATAAAGATGGGGGCCACAACAATAGATCGAAGGCCGTGATTTACTGATTTATGGTTTAATGCCCAAGCTGAGAACCACGTCTTAGGAAAAGTGAACTCATCGCATTCGGCCGGTGCTACGAGTAGAACTTCAACGAGTCGGACTCCCGCCATCCTGCCGCCCAAGACACAACGCTATCAACGCCACGCAACGAACTGCCAGCACAAAAGTTTTCTGTTTTATACAAAAAATCCCTGAACTTTCATTTCAGCCCCTACTCCCTCCTCTTCCTTCGTCGCGAAGATAATCGATCAGGTCTACTCTCTTCGCTTCTTCTCTGATGAGTGAATCGTCAACGATGCAGGAAGGGGAATCGCACGATTTGTCCGATGATGCCGATTATGCGGCGTCTCAACAGCAGGTAACTGATCTCTTCTGATCTCCACCACAATTGTGGTTCCCTTTTAGGATTTCCGGTAATGTTCGAATTTCTCATCGAATTCGAAATAGGTCTAAGAAAACTCTTAAATTCGAATTGTATTGCGGTTTATCCAATCCGTGCAGGTTAATTTCCGATAGAAGATCTTTTTTTAATCATTAATTTGCCCAGAGCAGATTTTTGCAAAAATGGAAGAAAATTTGTTAACAAGAAAAAAAAAAACCGAGATCGATTCCTATAGAAGTCCTAACTCCTAAATATATTTTCTGCTCTATTACATCGCCTGTTTTCAAGAACAATGCAACTATCTCCTACATCCAATTTGGTGGAAGATATCTCGTAAAGCATATAAAACATGTACCGACGTCAAGCATTTCTGGGAATCAAACAATTGATTGCAATTGTGAATCAGTGGCCATGTGAAGTCTAGGAAAGCTTTTAGTAATGCTCGAACATTTTAGAATGGGTACAAGTTATAATCTCAGGTAAGAGGATAAAGATGACATGGACCCTGGTCAGAATAAGCTAGAATAAGCTGCTGAAGCTGTCCCGGATATCTCACTCGTAACCAGAACCAGCACTAGCGGCAAAATCTTGAGTAGACCCATCGCAGTTATGGTAATAGATCCCAGGGAGTGGTGGCCTCCAAAGTATACTGGCATGAATATGAGATTTAATTCAAATGCACCATGAATGTTAGAACTCCCTAGGGCTTTAGGTACCATTACACTTGCCATAAAGTGACCAATAATGTCTTTACAAATGAAAGCAAGAATGCTATACTGTTGCTTTGAGCTTAAAAAATGTAATGATTGACAATATACACCTTTAGGGTGTTTGGTTCCGTTTACATTTATTGAGTAAACGTTTTGTACTTGTGTGGCTGCAAAACCGAGAAAAGCAATTAATGAGGGCATTTAGGACACATAGGTGCCATTAGGCACCACATCAGCAAAGTGTCAATAAACGCATATCTGTTTCAAGAGGTTCCAAAATGAAGCTTCCTGAAACGGGAGAGGCGCACAGAAAAGCAAACATCGATATGTACGGATGCAATTAATGAGGCCTTTGCTGATGGGGCGCCTATGTGGCACCGTTTACTCAGTAAATGTAAACGGAACCAAACACATACCTTGTGTTCTGCATCATTTTTATTTATTAACTTTTGATTTTTCTTCTCCATTTATTGAAGGGATCAACAAGTATTTCACAGAATGGTAGTGGGGGAAGAACTGTAATGAATGAAGCTGACAGAGCTCAAGTTGTTTATCAGAAGGATAATGTAACAATTCATCCAACCCAATATGCATCTGAAAGGATAAGTGGACGGCTACGACTAATCAAGCAAGGTTCTTCTCTTTTCATGGTAATACGTTTCATCCTCTTTTGTGGTTTTCCACTAATTCATCAATTCATAACTTTTATTTTCCCCCTTTTTTATATTAATTGTTGTATTTGGGTTGTGGCAGACATGGATTCCTTACAAAGCGACTCCAAGTGGGAATGATTTAACAAGACAAAATTCAAATGTTAGGTCAGCTGAGAGAGGTCAGATAAAAAATGTGATGTTGTAAGTAAAGTGGATATTGTTGTTGCTGAGTTGTTATTTCATGGTTGTATCTTTTTTTTTTGCCATACAGATAGGAATCTATATACAATTAGGCCTGTGCCATTCACTGATGTACGATCCATACGACGACATACTCCTACCCTTGGTTGGCAATACATAATTGTTGTATTATCATCAGGTAAGCTGATGGCTATTTTCTTGTTAATTATACTTTCTATATAATTTGTTGTTACAATCTGGTCTTGGTTTACTTTTTTTTTTTCTGATATTGGAGATAAATTGTGAGGATTCTGAGTATGTTTTAGAAAAATTGCTTTCTGATTTGTTTGTGAATTTTTCTTTGGGATTTTTTTTGGGCATGAAAGTGATTTTCTTGGTGGTTGCATAGATTTAACTAGATTTGTAATGTTACTGAGATGTACATAAATAGTAATTGATGATGGAAATATGGAATTTGAGGAAAATTTGAGAAGAATATGAATGGATTAAAAAAATTCTAAATAAAGATATAGGGGAGTTGAATGGGCATGCATGGGAGGGCAATGGAGAGTGGACAGACAGGCAATATTAAGTTAGAGAAAAAATGAGGCCTGGATAGGTAATCCTTGAACTTGCAATGATATTCCATTTGTAATAGTGAATACATGCAGGGTGATTCCACTTAATAGTGAATATTAAGTGGATCAATTTAAATCTGAATGAACTTCTCTCCTTTTAATTGGAGGAAGAATGATCAATTTGTAAACATTGCAGGGTGATTCCATGGAAGTAGTTGTACAGAAAACACATAATAATGCTTTTGGCTTTTGGCATTAGGAGATAAAAGAAATTGTGTATGGGTATATGTATCCATATACCTATAATAGAAGAAAGAGTGTCACACTCTCTTTTCGTCCATGATGTAATTTTTGTTTTCCAATTTGCCCTTATAAATTTCTAAAATTTGTTCTCTATTAATTATCTATGCATCAATATATCTATATAATATGCCACTAAATTTCTAATTATTTACAATAATACCATCTTATAAGACAAATGTAATCATGATACTTTCTCCCCCTTTCATATTTGTTATTGAATATCTAACTATTTACGGTCATGCCACCACCCACCATATAAAACAAAAACAATGAAATTCATCTCTTTCTTCTCTCTCATCCGATTCTTTTCCTCCCCCTCCTCCTTTCTCCCCNCAAATATTTAGGATTGTTAATGGGTTGGATCTGGTTCAGGATAGCCTATTACCTTTCCCGTCCAAATAAACTTTTATTTGTTCATTATTTATTTTATTAAATTAAATAAGTTATTATATATAAAATTTAATTTATTTAATTTATTTAATTAWTTATTTATTTAGAGATAATTTACTAACAAACTATTATTAGCCCAATATTTAGGGCTGTTAATGGGTCGGGTATGGTTCAGAATTTATGCATGGCAAGCTTGGCATTAATATTGACAACTTTTGGTCTAAATGGTTGTAATAAAAGAAACAATGTTTTGCTAATTTCTTAGAGAAAGAGGGTGATAGTAGATAATCATTGCTATATGCCAATTTCCTAGAGAAACAACATTTTTATTTTCTTGGTATAATTGTCACTATATTGCTTCTAAGCATGAGATCTGTTTTTTTGTTTCCACCACTATCTAAACTTTTTTTTTTTTGGGGTTAAAACTAAGCCTCAAACTCCAACACATACTAGGTTCAAACCAGTTAATGTACTAAAACCTTATCTCTCATTGTGTATATTTTTATTCTTATTTAATGTCAAGTGACACAATTTCTGCTTTTGTAGCTGCCAAGAGAAAATCTTACGGGAAAGTAAAATCTAAAAGACAAACAATGTTTGCCCAATTCATTATTATATTTTTAAGATAGCAAAATAAATCATTATTATATTTTTATTTTTACTTTATTATAACATTATTTTTTTAATGTAACGAAAGTGATTTATCCACTCTCTAGATTTTGTTTTTTTTTGTTGTATATTATTGACAATTATTGATTAGAACAATTATCATGTAATCAATTATTCTTTGAAGTTGTAGTAATCTTTGTACATTAGGATTATGAAAAAAAATTAAATTTTCATAATGTGACTTTTTTTTTCTTGGCTTTATTTTAACAAATTATCTTTCATATTAATAATTTTTACTATTATATATATATATATTTTCACATTAGATACACGTGTCTAGCATGTGCCCTTCTGCTAGTATACAGTATACACATATACACATGCACATGCACATACATGTGCCAGCTGGGATAAATAGTAGTTGTTCCTAACTTCCTACCTAACACTTCAATGTACAGTTCTACATGGTTCCGGGTACAATGTAAAAACCCACCCTTTTTCTATGAACTCAATTTGTGTTTTCATTGACAATTTTAAGTTTTTAACTACTATTCTGTTTCTGTCTGATCTAGAAAGGACAGGGTCAGAAATGAAACCATAGGAAGGAACTTAGGAGTAGCTCCGACAGGTGATAAAAGGAGAAAAAGTAGATTGGTATGGTTTGGTCATGTCTATAGAAGACCATCTACAGCATCCATTAGGAAAAGTGATCTGTTACAACTTGAAGGAGCTAGAGGAGCTAGGGTTCTGACTGAAAAGGACTTGAGTGGAGGTAGAAAGAAATGATTTAAACACCAAGAATTTAATGATAGATATGGCACTGAACACAGGGGAATGGTGAAACAGGATTCATGCAGCCAACCCCATATATTTGGGACAAGGCTTAGATGATGATGATTCTGTTTCTGTCTGAGATTATAACAGCAGTAACAATCTGGTTATATATATCCCAGATTTGTATATAAAAATTGTTGTTTCTCAGTCAGGAAACTATCATAATATGCCCTCAATTACATTCCTAATCTGTCTTGTTATAAGAGTTGTGCTTTTGATTTCTCATAACATCTTATATTTTTACACACTAAAATACTATTATTCTGAGAGCCACCCTTGCTAAGATTCCAGATAGCCAAGACCTGCATTGGGTAATTTCCTTACTGGAATAAAATACCAGAGAGAAGATCAAGTTTGATCACTTTTTGTGCTTGCCTGTTAGCCTCTGTATTCCCATGCCAATCCAACCTTGAACCATTTTCTAATACCTTATTAATTTAGACATTTTATTGTACTTGACATTGTACTGTTGCTTCTTGTTCCTATTGGGCTGCATTTTGTTCATGCATCTAGAAGTTGGTTATTTAGGTTTTGGTCATTTGTTGTAATCAATGGCACCGGGTTTTAATGTGAAAATGGATAACCAGAAGTCTTCTGCAGGACTTGCATTTCCTCCTCTATACTTCTACAATGGTGGTGTTCGTGAGTTCCTTGCTACATTAAAAGAACATGCTTTTCTTGTGAGGTTGGTTTCTCTTTGTTCTGGTTTTGTTTCCTGTTATTACTGATGTATTTCTTGATTATTTGGGTTTTGATGCAAGTCCTCTCACTAACCAAATATAAATGAGACTAAACTGGCCAGCCCAGGTTGAAACAATTATAGTTTCGGTATATAGTTGATCCAGAATGCCTAAAATTTTGGGGATAAACATCCAATACTATTGGCCTGAGAGGCCTTTCCATGTTGCCACTGTGTTGATGGGCATAAAGCTTGATAGTTATGAAGTATTAACTTTTCCCAGCAATTATGACTGAAATAAGTTCCAAAAAACAACTTAACAAAAACAACCAATTCTTGTACAAGAGGGTTTGGAGGTATCTGGTTTCACTTTCTTTTGGATTAGTACCTGTATTTGAAATATCATAGAAATTGAGTCTTTTATATGCTATTTTTAAATGTTCATTTAGTATATTCTTATTATTTTCTCAAATTTTTCTTGTTATTCCGTTTTCATTTCCCATTGTTTTCCCTTGTAGTTTATTTACTAATTACTTCTGCTGATATCTTCCAGTCAATTTTGAAATAAATTTGCATACAATACATGTATATATGGCCTTTTGAAATAAAGCATATTGAGTGTAGGAATTTTCAAAACTAGGAAGACATCAGTCCTTTTAAAGTATTGGTTAAAAATGCATAACATTAAATTTAAAGTATTCTTTTCTAATTCACAATATACTTATATTATGAATGATTGTATATTTAACATATGATTTTGCCAAAATTTTCACTAGGTATTGTTTTAAAAGAGAAAGGTTTTGGCCATAAAGGTCATTTTTGGCTGACTTTTTTATTATGTTGTGTATGGCCTTTTTTTTGATAGTAATGTACGACCAAATCTTTACTGTACTATAATGTTATAAGTGTTTCCATATAACTTTTTTGCTGTATATGATTTTACTAACCACAGATGTGATGGTGTTGACTTAAATGGGTTGAGCTGCAGGTTAGAGCATACATAATTGTCAAGGGTGACTAGGCACCCTTGGTTGGGCATATTACTTGAACGCCCTGACTGCATATTATTAGCAGCTAGGTGTCCGTCTAAGTGATAAGATGCCTACCTAGGTGTCCGTCTTAATACATTCTATTATATAATATATGTATATGCATATATCATTTTTTTTTTTGTTTTAAGGTTTGAATATTGTAATTTAAAAGATCTAACGGTTTTGAGGAGAGAAAAATAAAGAAAGATGAGAAGGATAAGGATAGAAATTTATATTTAGTAAAGCAGCGGCTCAACCCCTTGTTTTTTCCCTTGTTCTCTATCTTAAGTTTTATTATATAAAGTTATAGCTATCTTTAGTTGCTATTTTGATATGAAAATGTTTTGTTAAATACTAATTATATTGGTGTTATTTTTGTATATATTGAAATTAATATATTTAAATACTACCGTCTTTTAGATGGTATTTAAATATATTATACTAAAAGACAATTTTCTTTTAGATATGATGATTTTCAATGTTTCTAGAGGAAATTTAATGTTCTTAATAAAAAGAATTTTATTTCAATTAATGTGCATGCTTTTTGGCATATAAAACTAGGGAACTAACCTAAAATTTGTTCTTTATTTTATAAGATTCTTATCACCTAGGCAACTAGTTTCCTCACTATTGCCTAGAATTTACCTGGGCACCTTGACATCTACGAATTCATAATCTATATAAATATATTAAGCTGAAATGTGTACGTAAGAAGGCCTGAGGATGAGGGAAATGGAATTTAACAATATTTTTTGTCTTTTTTCATAGAAATTACAAGAATGCCACTCTCTACCAACTCTCCCTCTCTCTCTTGCTTTTTTTTTTTCTTTCAAACTACAAGAATGCCACTCTCTCTCTTTTTCTTACAAATTACAAGAATGCCATCTCTCTCTCTCTCTCCCCTTATAAATTACAAGAATGACACACTCTCTCCAACTGAGGGAGACCTCTGAGCTCGAGCCGAGCCGAGCTCGAACTTCTAATCTCAAGCTCAAGTCTCTAATTCGAATCAAGCTCGAGCTAGACGACACCTTGACCACTAAGAGAGACCTCGGCTCGGCACCTCAGTCACTAAGGGAGATCTTGGCTCAGCACCTCGACAACTGAGGGAGACCTCAGCTTGGCACCTTGTCAACTAAGGGAGACCTTAGCTCGACACCTCGCCTGCTAGGGAAACCTCAGCTCGACACTTCAGCAACTGAGGGAGACCTTGGTTTGTCATCTCAGCAATTGAGGGAGACCTTGGCTCGGCACCTCAGCTGCTCGACAGACCTGCAATCAAAGGTAGCCGAGCTCGAACTTCCGAGCTTGAGCTCGATCTCAAGTCTCTAATTCGAATCGAGCTCGAGCCTGATAATTTATGAGCGAGCCCCTGCAACGCAGGGCCCCTCCGCTAGTATATTGTTAAAATAATAAGAATGGTATGTGATATTTTTTTTTTGTAAAAGGTAATGTAATTTTATTCAACACAAAAACAAAAACAAACAGAAATTCAGACCCAAGAAGGCAGTCTGAAGAGCAGCCAGGATTACAATCTCCACCAGGAGCAAGACTGAAACAAAACGGGCAAGCTAAGATCTCTGAACTCCCCAGAAATGGAAATCCAAGAAATCAGCTTGCCCACAGCTCTCTGAATTACATCATCAAGACCTTTAGATCTATTACAGAAAACTCTACTATTCCTTTCAGCCCAAATGGACCACAAAACAGCAGCTGGGATTGTCTTCCACATCAGCTTTCCTCTCTTACTTAGACCCTTTAACTTCCAAGTACAAAGGTGTTCCTTAACTGATCTTGGCATGACCCACCTAGCACCCAATGCTTTGAGAAAATGCATCCAAATCTGAAAGGAGAATGGACAGTGAAGACATAAATGATCTGTAGTTTCTGTAGCAGTCCCACAAAGAACACAAGCTGAATCCAGAATTTGAATGCCTCTCCTCAACAGAATAGACCTGGAAAGGCATTTGTCTAGGGCCATCGTTCAAACCAGAAAATTAGATTTTGAGGGGCTCATAGAATTCCAAATCTGTGTAGCTGGGAAATCAGTATGCCCCACACTACATAATTTAGCAGCCATGAACTTCACAGAAAAAACACCATCTGGCTTCCATTTCCAGCACCACTTATCAACCCCAAGCACATCAATCTTCTGCTTATGAAGGAGAGTCATCAGCTCCAAAAATTCATCCAGTTCCCAATCAAACAAATTCCTCCTTAAGAGAGGGGACCGAGACACTGAATCCTCAAGCAAAGAGAAGTAATCAGCCACAGTAGCCTCTTGGTTGACAGCACACCTAAAAAGGTAAGGGAAGGAGCCAGCAAGGGGGCCATCCAAACACCACTTATCCTTCCAGAATTTTGTTCTATCACCTTTACCCACATTCACAGAAATTCCTTCCTAGAAAATAGGAAAAATTTTCATAATTCCTTTCCACAGAGAATTGCCCCAATTTGGAGGGGGAGCTCTGATTCTCCAGTTTCCCCAATCTACCCCATACTTTTTAGCAAGCATTCCTCTCAGTGAAGAATCTCCAAATCCACTTGCACAAGAGAGTAATATTAAAATTCTTCAATTTCCTTATTCCTAGACCACCTTCAGCTTTAGGAAGAGAAACTTGATCCCAATTAACTAGATGAACCCTGTTATCCTCCTCCCAGCCCCTCCAAAGGAAATTCCTCTAAAGCTGCTCCAATCTTTTAGCAACTCCAATTGGGATAGGGATCAGGGACAGGAAATAAGTTGGCAGATTTGAGAGAGTACTTTTTATCAAGGTTACCCTTCCTCCAAAAGAGAGGTATTTAGCCTTCCAAGATGATAATTTCTTCTCCAATCTTTCAATGATTGGATCCCAAATCGAAGAAGAAAGCCAATTAGCCCCCAAAGGCAGACCCAAATACTTCACAGGAAGAAAATTAGTCTTACAAGCCAATACCACAGCACACTCCTCTAAGTTACAAACCTGCCCCACTGGAATGATATAGCTTTTGTTCAAATTCACCTTTAGCCTAGAAACCACCTCAAACCAGACTAAGATTCCAAGAATGAGTTCCAACTGGGACGGAGAAGCATCTACAAAGCACAAAGTATCATCAGCAAACTAGAGAATATTGACCTTCCCCCCTCGGACAAATAGAAAAGCCTTCCCAACTGCCAGCATCAGCTGCCCTCTTACAAAACAAGGTGAGGATTTCCATCACACAGATAAAAAGCAAAGGAGAAAGAGGGTCACCCTGCCTCAGCCCCCTAGAACTTTCAAAAAAACCTGCTGATTGGCCATTAATCAAGACTAAGAACTTAGGAGAGGTTGTGCAGACTTTGATCCAATTTCTCCATTTCTGCCCAAAATTCATATGTTGCAGAACCAAATCAATGCACCTCCAGTTAACATGATCATAAGCCTTCTCAATATCTAGCTTACAAATTAAACCTGGAACTCCTTCTCTTCTTCTTGAGTGAATTAATTCATTTGCAATGAGGACCAAATTAAGCATCAGCCTACCAGGGACAAAGGCACTTTGATTATTTGAAATAACACTTCCTAACACCCCTTTCATTCTCTCAGCAAGGACTTTAGCCAGAATCTTATAAAAAGCCTGAAAAACATTCATAATGTCTTGCTTTACAGTGTCCCAGCATTTAATGTAGAACAGATTGGTAAGGCCATCTGGACCAGGCGATTTATCAGCCGCTAGCAATGGAAATAACAGCTTTAATTTCCTCCTCTGAGAAAGGCCTCTCAATGAATAACTTCTGATCTCCACTTAACTGCTTAAATGGGAAATTTCTGGGGAAAGGTCTAAAAGCCCAAGATTCTGTGTAGAGTTTTTTTTAAAAACTTGTTGCCACCACCTTTATATCAGCATCAGATTCCCCAATCTTTCCTTCCCACTCCAGCTCAGAAATAGAAGAGACTCTCAGTCTGGTATTTGGCATCTTATGAAAAAAGTGGGTATTTTTGTCCCTTTCTTTCAGCCACCTCACTTTAGCCCTCTGCCTCCACTTAATTTCATCCTCCACTGCCAATTTGTCATACCTTAGCTTTGCTTGGGATCTTTTAAGCCTGCTTTCCTCGGAAATAGGGCCAACCTCTTCAGCTGAATCAACTTCCTCAATGATAATAGGGCTCACTTTTCAGTTTTTGACTTCAAAGAATTTTCCTTCTTCCAGAGTTTTAATTTCTCTTTAACTACACCAAGTTTTCTTGCCAAGATATAAGAACAAGTACCTTCCACCTGCAAACCTCTCCACACAACCATCAAAACTTGAGTAAAATTCACATCTTCAAACCAGGAGCTCTCCATCTTGAACGGGGCTTTGACTTTGTCTCGAAAACCACAAATCAACTGGATTGGATAGTGGTCAGAAACTGGTCTAGGGAGAGCAACCTGTCTAAAATCACGAAACAGTTCCTCCCAACTTGGAGAGACCAAGAATCTATCTAGTCTCACTAAGGTAGGAGAATATTGGTTATTCGTCCAGGTGGACCGACTACCCTGAAGAGGAAGATCCATCAGATCAAAGCTGTTAATAAAGTCTGCAAACTGGAGCATCTCTCTAGATCTCCTACCTTTGGTGTTCTTTTCTTCAGCAGAAAGATAAACATTAAAATCACCTCCAATCACCCAAGGGATAGACAAATTGGCCCTCACCCCTGCCAATTCCTCCCAAAACTCATTTCGGCGACTTCTATCTGTAGGGCCATAGACATTTCTAACCTGACAGACCTTATCATTAGTAAATTTCAGCACCAATGATACTGAAAGGTTTCCGACATGAGAAGAAATAAGACTGCAGATAGAGGGATCCCAAAGAGTCAACAAACCCCCTGCACTACCCACAGCCATTTTTGCTTTCCATCCGACCTCACCCTCCCCCCAAATACTTCTAACAATAGCAGCATCCATATACTCCAATTACTTTTGTTTCTTTTTACTACAATAGTGGTAATATCTGTAATTTATTATTGTTAGTGAGACAATTGTTTAACTTGGGAAATTTGTGCTGTAACAAGTTAATTATTATTGAGTTTTTAGTGTTAATGTAATAATTGCATGCACAATGAGCTTGTGGATTCTGAGCACAAATGATCAGTGCATCTACTGGACTAGATTTTGTTAGTTTCTTATGGAGAGTTGTATTTCCAGGTCTGCAGATGATGCAAATGCTTTTCTTGTGAACGATTTTCAGGATCCTCTCCAGGTGCAAATTTGATTGTTTTTGGTTTGGTATTATATTATCTTTCTGTTCGTAAGCTAAAAAAAGGTGCTGCATAAAGTGGTTCAATTGTGTCCTTGAAAGTCATACACCAAAATGATGTATTGTCCCATTAAACAGCTTTTATGGTCGAGATTTTATGAGATTCTGCATTTGATAATTCCTAAGATATTCCATTCATTGTTTTATAACTTAGAGTAGATAGTCCAGGCCAGCAGGTCCAGGGCTTGTCTTCAAAGCATTTTTTGGCATTCATAGTGCTAGGTTTCAGAGTCGACATTATTATGTTGGCTTTTATTTACTAAATGGTGGAATGACTAAAAGGAAATGGCTGTCTTATGTAATATGTTTTCTTTGTTCCTGTTTTTGCAAATGTTATTGCAGAAGAGCTTGTCTTCTTTGGAGTTGCCAAGGGCTGTTTCTGTTGCAAATAGTCCATCAACACTTGTTCCAGCAAGTCCATCTCCTTTTGCTGAAAGCTCAGGGAGGACTGACAGGGATTCATGTGATGGAAGTCCAAGTGCGTCTCTATATAGTGAGAGGAGCAGGCAAAAGGTTCATGATCCTGCTCATGATCTCTCAATTCAAGTACTAGAGAAATTTTCACTTCTGACAAAGTATGCTCGCGAAACAACATCACAACTCCTTCGTGAAATTCATGGCGACAACTATGGTGCTTTTGAAAGAAAGAATGAGTTTCAGTCACTTCCAAGTAGTGTTCATGATGGAAGGTCTAATGACATAGTAAAAGTTCCAGATGAAGCTCCTGTGGCTTCTGATCCCCTGGAGGTAATATTTTGTTCCCTTTGTTAATTTTCTCAAATATCACTATTTTAATAAGAATTGTTCTGATATTCGTTTACATATAATTCATACCATGGTGAATGCCAGTGATGTTTAGACCATAGTGGGCTATGCAGCTCTTTTTGTGCACATCTCTCTCTCTCTCTCTCTCTCTCTCTCTGACGAGTAAAAACTTTTAATTGAGTAACGATCCCGACCTTTTGTGCACATCTCTTTACTTCTCACATTTTTTATTCACAAGAAAAGAATATAGTACTCAACAAAGTTTTATCCTGACCAAGGTTCAAAGTATTGATACGTATCAGCCCGTATCGGCCTGATATGTATCGTGCCAGTGGCTTCCTGGTACGCCCCTACAGGGGTTGTATCGGGTCAGCCACTGGTTCAGAGGGTATCCGGGCCTTAAAGCGGCCCCTCTGAACCGATTTCGAAAAAAAAACTAAGTAAAACATAAAAAAAAACCACCGACACAGGCCAATATGCCGGTAGGGCGTATCAGCCTGTGCCAATATTTAGAACCTTGATCCTGACGATCTGTAGTTGGTAAATATATTTACAGTAATCACAATTTGAGTTAGATGTAATATATTTTATGATACCCAGATTCCTATACATGTCTGTTGCACTGGTATAGACATGATGGTACTGAATACAACATCAGATACCACCTGGACATTTCTAGATATACTCTATAGCATTAACACTTTAAAATATACAAAATGGTAAATTTTAACAATAATGCAACATAAAAAATCTATGTATCTTAGAAATTTAATCAAAGAGAAACGACACTTAGCTTAAAAAACTTAAATATAAAGCATGATATAAGCATATTATATTTAATACTTATATCTGTATGTGTCTGGAGTTTTAGGAAAAGGAGTCTCATAACCTGTTTTCTGTATCCATGTCCGTGTTGGTTCTCTCTCTCTCTCTCTCTGTTCATGATGAGAGTATTTATTTATTTTTTGATAAATGGAAATGATTTTATTAATGAACAGATCAAGAAGTTAAATCATTACAGGCAACCCATGGAGAGGCACGAGCTGTTACCTCTCCTAACAAAGTATTACATCAAGCTAACAAAGTATTACATGCTGTTTATCCCTTGTCTGCCTAAGGCATCATCTATACTGTTTGCACATCTAGGGATCCACTGGAAAGTGATGACCGATTCTTCTTACAATAATCTGATTTCCTTTAATGTGTATCTAAATATCCATGTTCCTGCTTCTTTATTCCTTGGCCATCCCACTACAACATTGGAATCTCCCTCCACTATGATGTTTTTAGTACCTTATATTCTTTTCCAATCTTAACCCATGTAAGACTGCTTTAATTTCTGCCCTTGTCGAGTCTCCATGACCAATACGTCCCGAGTATACTGCTGGTTTTCTGTATCTTGATAGCATAGAATATATTAGTTTGATGTCATATGTGCATGATATAGAGTTTTAAGATTTAGGCACATCTTGAGAATGGGTGGCAGTAGGGGTGTCAACTGGATTGGATTTGGTTAAATCCGACCCAGTCTAATGCGAGTCCATTACAAATGGATCAGGTCCAATCCAATCCAATGAATATTTTGGACCATTTTGGATTGGTCCAATACAATGTCTGGACCGTCCAGTCTGTTCAAATTTGTTTTAATTTAGATTAATTCTAACCGAAACCTGGTCCATTGGAACCTATATTCTTATCTTCTATCAATGGACCAGATAGTGGCTCAATCCAACCCAATCCAATATAAATTCATTACAGATGGATTAGGTCCAATCCAATCCAATAAACACTTTGGACCATTAAGTCAGGACTGGTCCAATTCAATATGCCTTGTTGGTCTGTCCCATCCGTCCAAATTGGTTATGGTTTGGACAGGGTCCAATCCAAAACCAGTCCATTGACACCCTTAGGTGGCAGCATTTGTATTAATACATGTCAAAAAGTAGTTTTCATAAGTTGAAAATTTGTAATGACAATGATCCTCTAATTCAAAAAAACAAGTAGGTGAAGAGCTGCCAGTATACAAAGGTCCTTCCCTCCAATCCAAATTGCTAGGAGTCCATCTAGTTTCAGTGAAGTTGGCAACAAAAGTTTTTCTATATCATTAAGAAAATGAGCTACCTACACCAATGTTTTGTCTGATGGCATTTTCTGAATTACCTTGCATGAATCATGACAAGATGTAATATTGAGGTGCACAATTGCTAATGAATCCTGCTTATTAACTAATATTGCTCCATTTTGTTCTTGTAATTAAATAACATGCCTTTTTTTTAATATATGGTGTAATGGATTATATTGATATATGGCAAAAGGGAAGAACCTGATATATACTTCATATATATATATATATTGCAATAATTAGAAAGAGAAAGACTTTTCTTTTTTAATTCCACAAAGACTGCATTGGTTGTCCATGGTCTTCCCTCTAGATATGAAGTGATTGACAGTCAAGATTTTGTCTAAGTGCCAGTCCACTTAAAGAATGAAATTTTTGATGGGATGTGGGCCTCCCAAATCCATTTCAAAGGGAGAGATCCAAAACTGAAGGACCAAGCAAAGAATTGTAGAGGGATTTCACTGGGAGCAAAATGCTGTAGACTTTTATGGACCATGCAACCAAGCGGCACTTTTCTTTGTTGGGTTCACCTAAGCTACTCTTAACAAGGATTAGTTTCCTGCCCTTGGGACAAATATGCCTTTTTACATCCATCCAATTACCTCTCAAATCATAGGAGGTTTAAGGTTCTCTTAGAAGATAGAACATGGGAGAGTGGATGAACAAGAACACAGTGGCTTGTTTTGATTAGTTTCTGGAGCCTGAGGCTAAACAAAGTTCTCTATTGAATTACTTGGTGAATTTCTTCTTCCCCCTTTTTTTTTTCTTATGGACCAATTCTACCTGATCAAACATGTAAAACATGCTACATAGGGTGAAATTTGATGCATTTTTAACTATCAAAAGAAAAAGAAAGACATTTGTTGAAGGTTCTGACCACGATGATGATGATACTAGTGAAGCTAGTAAACCCTTAATTATATGCTGTCAAGATAAGGAATTGCATTTGTATATTTTTCTTAGAGACCTTATGGTTCTAGCGATCATGATTTGTCTAAGTTGTTGAGCTGGTCTTCAAGCAAAATGCTCTCATATCATAAAATTAGAGTGTGCATTTATTCTCAACATAGGCATTTTACAAGGATTGTGGCTTCAACTGAATTTCGTTGATTAGCCTATGCTTGTACCTTAGACCTTCTATCATGATCTCTATATTTGTAATGGGATACAGTAAGTACAGGGAATTAGCTGTTGGATGGCAGGTGTTGATGGGTTGCTTATTTTGCTAAGGATTCACTTTTTAGGATAACAACTTAGTGTCATGAGAAACTCTCATTCTCAAGGAACCATTATGAAGATGGAAGGCTATGGGTACCAAAGTTCCATTCACATCACCCATCGATTATGAGCCAAATTTAACTGTCTATTGGATTTCGGTCCATTAAAAGCTTATTCCTCTTCATTTTAACTCATTATAATTGCATGATTTGATTGTTAATAAAATTACAAACTTATACTCCAGGACTGTCTGATGCAGACCTCTGCCCTTGTTAAACAGAAAATTCCATGTAAGAAACAAAACCATGGTGAAGAAGCTGCCACCAAAGTGGGAACTTTTGAGCTTGTCAATTGTAAGGAGGTATTTGGAAGGGGCCTTTAGTTTTATTTAAGTAGTATGACTATGTATGTTTTGTTTTGAGTATGATGTTTTTAATAAATTTGGAACACTAGGTTATAAAGACATCAAAGAGAGCTTATTTTCTCTTCTGATCTAGAGTCATAATTTATGCATTTTAACTAGAATATAGGTAACTGGTTATGATCCTTCATCTTCATAAATGTAAGCACTATTTATATATTGTTTAAGTGTATAGGGAAGATGTGAGAATTATTTATGGAACATTGAGGTGATCTAGTTGCAATGGACATGCTTAATAAGTTTCAAGCTTGTTGTTATCATAATTTCTTAGGATATTATATAGGATACATTTTATGAAAATGGTCACTTGGTCATGGAAATTTCTAGTGATCACATGGCCCAACTAAATGCTAATAAAGGTTCAACTAAGAGCCCAAATGGGATGACATCAGTTGATTTGATGTGCTGTAGGATTCCAGATTGAATTCTATACTGCTTGACCAAGTTGTGGTGAGTCTCATTACATGCTTTACTTCTCAAGTTCTGTAATTAAGTGATTGAATCAATAAATATTCCTATAATTTTGACACCTACGAAATTTCAACATAAAATTTCTCTCTGTGTCCACATCTTTCCCCAAGTGATTTCTGCAAAAGGAACATTTTAGACCTTCTGGAAAGGGAAGAAACAGCAGCAAGGTTCAAAATTTCGCAATGTATCAGCCTGTATTGACTGATACATATCGTATCCTTAAGGGGTTGGCACGGGAAACACTACAAAATCCTTTGTATCTTGTCTTCTTCTCGTGCTGACCTCGTATCGTGACCGTATCAGGGTGTATCGTGACCATATCGTAGCCGTATCAGGGTGTATCGGCTGATACAGTATGACTTTCCTATATAGGCAAAAGACGAATTAAAAAACCTTTGAGAAAGAAGGCTTCTAACTCTCTCCAAAAGCCTGCTTTCTATCCCAAACTCACAATATCATCCCTACACATTCTTGGGATGCATGATCGTTAAAAAATACCCAAAAACAACCTCCAAAACTCAATTTTTTTTGAAGTTTTTTTAACTTTTTTCAAAAATTGCAATAATAGGTATTTTTTCAATTTATTTGATAATATGCTGCAATATTTTGTGTTTTTTTATTTTTTTATTTTTGTTTTGATGATTGGAAATGCTTTTATATACATTGATATACTCTCCTTGTATTGAAAATCCTATATTTTTCTGTGCTTTAAATAGATCTATGTAATTTTTTAAGTAAATTCAGAAAAATATAAAATAACAAAAAAAATAATTTTATATTTTTGGTTTAATCTACCCATGAAGGATAATTATGTCATAGATCTATGGATGATCTACGATATCCATAGATTTATTGAAACTATTTGTAAAATATTCTTTTTTTTTTATTTTTGTAATTTTTGGAATAAAAAATATTTATTTTTTTCATTTTTTAGTATGATCTAACATAAAGATTTATTGTGTTGTAGATCTATGGATGATCTACTATATCCATAGATCTACTGAAATTTATTGTGAAATATTTATTTATTTTTAATTTTTTTGTAGTTTTTAGAATAAAAAATATTTATTTTTTTTTCTAATTATTTGTGTGATTAACCATAACTATTTACTATGTTTCAGATCAATGGATGATTTACCATATTCATAGATCTATTTAAATTTCTTGTGAAACATTTATTTTTTAATTTTTTTAACTTTTAGAATAAAAATATTTATTTATTTTTTCTAATTTTTGGTGTGATCTAACCCCAGGATTAAAGTATCGGTATCGGGTATCATATTGGACAACTTGGATACATATACAGCATATACAGATACGGGCATATATCGAAATGCTTGGATACGCTAAGGAAATGCGTACAAATTCAATAATTATATTAATAACTTCAAGTTTAGTGTCAAAATAACTATAAATAATTCATAAATACATAGGAATTGTATAATTTAATGGTATATATGAAGAAATATATTACCATTGATATAAGATGAATAGATATTATACAATTTTATTGATAATGCATCAAATTTTGTTTTTATTAAAATCCAAGGCACAAAACATAAGCAACCATTATATTTGAATTATTATATCAATTATTTTTATTTACTATTTTCAATTTTTAACATCAACAAAAAAATCAACTAAAAATTAATTTGTAAATGTTCAGTAAATAATACTTCTATTTTTGTAAACAATAAATATGTTTATATAAAATGTAAATGAAAATATCAATTAATAATTTATAAAAAAATATAATCTTAAATTAAAATATATCGAATCTATTAAAATTTTGAAGATGCATATCATATGAAAATTCATAAATTTTAATTACTAAAATAATTATTCCATTATTACTATTTTTATTTTTATGATTTTTAAAATAAAAATTAATTTTTATTTTTGTAAACAATATTTTATCTTTGTAAATAATAAATAAATTGTTATTTAATGTAAATTAAATTAATAATTAATAATTAATAAAATAATTATTATAATTTATCAAGTCTACATAAATAATTCTAAGTATTAAAATAGTTATTCTGTTAATAATATTTTTATTTGTATAAATTTATTGAAATTAAAAATCATTTGTATATATGTGGATTTGATAAATTATTTATTTTATTGATTTATAAAATGATAATTTTGAATATTATTATTTTTAATTTGTACTTGGAGTTATTGAATATATTATTTGTTTAGATTAAATGTAAGAATTAATTTTTATAAAAGATAATTTATTTCACTTGTTATCACGAAATAGGAGGTGGCTTGATGGTTAAGATCCTTGCGCTCCTGGACGCTAGGCGACTCGGGTTTCAGGGATTGAATCATGTTAAATCCCTTTTTCTAGTGAAGCACTTTTTTGTTAAACTTGAGTTCGATACGCCTCTGTATCAGTGCGTATCGGCCGATACTGTGCGATACGCACCGATACGGTGGCGTATTGGATCGATACGCACGACTTGTACGACACAGTGCCAGTCATGGCGTATCTCATACCCTCCCCTACCGATACCGATACGATATGCCCTGTATCGGGTGTATCATGTCGATATTTTAATCCTTGATCTAACCATAATATTTACTATGTTGTAAATCTACGGATGATCTATCATATCCATAGAGTTATTTTTTGTTACATATTTATTTATTTATTTATTTTTGTTATAATTTTTGGAATAAAAAACAAAATAATTGTTTGCATAATAAATAAATAATTGTTTAAAAAGTTACAGAAAATGTTTCATTAAATAATTATTAGGGTTATATTTTGTAGTTATAACCTTATTAGAGAATACCCTTGTGTTCCCGTATGTTGATTATGATATTTTTTTTGGGAAATTGTCTAAAACTCACCATGACTTTTCAGCATTTCTCTTAAACTCACCACAACTTTTCAAAACTTCTAAAACTCACCATGTCAGTAAGTTTTTATTTTCCAAAACTCACCTTCCGTTAGTACACCGTTAATGTTTCTTAACAGAGGTGTCCATATCAGCATAAATAACAATTTTTATGACCAAATCACCCTTGAATGGTGAGTTAGAGGAAAAGGGTCTTTTTCATTTTTCAATTTTCTTTTTTTTTTTTACATTTTTCTATTTTCTACAATCTATAAAATTTTCTGTATTTTTTTAATTTATTTGCAATTTCTGTGATTTTCTATAATTTTTGCTGTTTTTTCTACAATTTTTATTTTCTAATTTTGTTTTTCAAATTCTATAGTTTCTATAATTTGAAAATGACTTTTTATTTTGTGTGAAACTTCTATAATTTTTTATATTTTTTTCCAATTTCTGTGTTTTTATGTATTTTATATTTGAAAATATTTTTTGAACTTTTTCCTTTTTTTGTCATATCTAAATATTAAAATATATGTATATATTTTATATTTTTCTATGAAGGTTAAAATGGTAATATATTAATAGCTGTTAGTCTCTTTAACATCAAGTCAGTGACAACGGTGACTTTTAGACATTTTGAAAAATTGTGGTGAGTTTAAGAGAAATGCTGAAAACTCATGGTGAGTTTTTGACAATTTCCTTTTTTTTTCATAAAAATCAGTAAAGCATGTGATTTTTATGCATATATATCTCATTTAGGCCTTCTATTTAATGTTATTTATGTATTTTGTGATTTAGTGGAGGGTCTATAGTGTTTTCATGCTTTTCTATGCGTATTTTAATTTTTCGTTTGTATCCATGTGTATCCAAGGTGTATCTCTGATCTGTCTAAATTTGTCTTTCCGATACACTTAGCTTTTCCAATACTTTGAACCTTGAACAGCAGGGTAGAAAATCAGATTTAATATGGTTTCAGTTCAAAAAACTGAAATGCATATGATACTTGTTTCTTTGTGTTTAAAGAAAAAAATTGCATATATTTCTGTACAAATATATATTGTGATTAGAATAAAAAGAAAAAAAATTCTACTTCTGCTTTTCAATTTTTGTATGTGTATTAAAATACTCTTTTGGGTCCTCACAAAGAGTAAAAGAAATAGCAGAATACTGTTAAAGACTCAAATACACAGTATTGGTTGAACCACTGTTTTCAATTTGTCATTGACCTGTCTGGTTAGAGCAGTGACCCAGTCACAATCCCGGTTCAGATGACTTGATCAATGGCCTGTTGATCCCTCTTACCCTTATGGGGGTTACTGTGTTTTTATACCATTTTTTTTGAATGTTTTATATTGATGAGATTATTGATTGATCCATTGAGCTGGAAGGTTGAACTGCTGACCCGTTAAACAAGAGGGGAAATGGTCCAACCTTCAGGTTGGGTTTTAAAACAAGGATCAAAATATCAATACACCCGATACTCTCAAGTGGGTATCAGTGTGTATTGATATGGCCAGTACCCATTGTTTCTTTTATTTTTTATTTTATAAGCATTATAAGGATGCTTATAAGCCCCCAATATTTTATCGTGTCAGTGTATCCATGCGTTTTGGGGTCCACCAATACAGATATGATACCGGGCATAGCATATTAATATTTTGATCCTTGTTTTAAAACACTGGGTTGAACTTCATTTCTTTCCAAGAAGAGAAAATAAAATACAAATAGTGGCAAAGTATTCTCCTAAAAGGCACAATGAGTGTATGCTCTTCCAGTAAAAACTTGTGTTTTTGAGAGTGACTTCTATTGCCAATTGAATTTGTGGATTGTTATAATTTGTTGAGGAGAGAAATTTGTGTGGGCAGTGATTACTTGGGAAGGGAGAATTAGGATTTTAGGAAATTAGGAAGACATAAAGGCAAAGATATAAAACTTTTGTTGGAGCTGGACATGTTGAGAGAATTAAAATATGTACTTTTCATAGAATAGTTTTTTTCTGAAGGGTGTGTTTCCCATGGTTGATCATTTAGTTGGTTCAACATAGCATTTCTAGTACTAGAGCAAAATGTATAGTGTTTTAGATGAATGGCACTTTGCTGATGATGGTTATGAGTGCAATTGTTAAGCATTCAGGTGGTTTATTATACCTTTTCTGAAGGAAGACTTTTGCACACTTATACAGGGGTTTTAAACTGAGTTTGTTTCAAGGTTCTTTTTTTTTCTTAAAAAAAAATAAATTTTCTTCTTCTTTTTACATGTGATGGATCCTTGGAACTCCTTGTGTTCTGTTTCAGATCAAATTATTTATATCGTCTTGTTGTCTTTTGGCAGTTTGATAAGTTGGCACTTGTGTGGGGGAAACCACGACAGCCTCCTTTAGGACCTGAAGAGGTATGGGTTGTCTATCCTTAGTTCCAGTATGTTTCCATTATTGACACTATCAATTTGTTAGTCATAAAATCATGGATTATAAATCCACCAGGTAATATATGGGATGGTTTTAGCAATTGATCAAAAAAGAGGAAAGTTATTGACACCATCTTAATTCCTGATGTGTGGTGTATGTTGCATATCTGAGGCATGCAAGAGATCAAATTTGTATGCTTAGCATTGCACTTCATATATAAATTGAGTTACTGGTGTCATATTTTTGCTCTGGCCTGGAAATTTCTGCAAACATGGAAGTTCTTAAACTTACCAGTGGGTCCTATGCAGTGGACCACTTTTTTGGATTCTGAAGGAAGAGTTATGGATTCAAAGGCTCTAAAAAAGAGAATATTTTATGGGGGAATTGAGCATGAACTACGGAATGAGGTCTGTATTTGTGTGTCTCTGTTCAGATTCTTTCTCATATGTTTGTTCCCTTTTTGAATTCATGCTAAACTTGACAATTGTTTTGTTGGTTACAGATATGGAAATTTTTGTTGGGGTACCATAAATATGATTCAACATATGCTGAGAGGGAGTATCTTGCTTCAATTAAAAAATCAGAATATGAGACAATAAAGCACCAGTGGCAGGTTCACTATTGTATCTGAAGTATTTTTAATTGTATATTCATTTTATTATGTGCATTAAGTTGGCATCTAGAGCAAATATCAGATTCTGCAAAATAATCAGAAAATCTATCATTATGGATCATAAAAGAAAATAAAAGATGACACCTTTCACTACACTTCACTCTTCTGTTTTGCTCCAAGTATGGCACTGCATAATGCTTGCACACCCTACTTTGTTGGATGTACTCCTACCTTCTTTTCAAGTTTCTTATATGAATGCATCTGTTTGACTTAGTCATGGTAGTTATAACCAAGGAGAGAAATTGATGTCTTGGATAATGGTTTATCCCAGCTTTTCTTTGAAGTGAAGAAAACTAAGCTCACTGCATTCATTTAGAATTGAAGACCAGAATGAACAGCAGTACCTTTGAGATCTTGCTTCCAGATTGAAAATGCTGTAGTATGGATTCCTAGATCAGCCAATAAGATTGTGTATGGTTTACCTAGAGGAAAGACTCAAGGAATCCATTATAGAAGGACAGCTCATCCTGTATAAGTAGAGCTATTATATCCTTCTCTAGTGGTTCATTTAGCTCAGTTCTCAGGTTTTGGTTGTATAATTTTATTAGGGGTTTTTATTGATTTCCCCACTTCATAAAATATGTACAGTTGAGAATGGTGACAGCTGACTGGTGGAGGAATATATCAAAATACGGGGGGAGGGGGAGTACTGTATCATAGGTTGGGGTTTTAGTAAATAAAACCAGAAGACCAATAAAAATTTATGAGGTGGGGCAAACCACAAAATTCCCATTTTATTATTTATAGACTTTCCAAAATGGAAAAACCTTAAATATAGTGAAATTGGGTTGCAAGATAACCAATCTCAGAGTAATAGACAATTTGTCAAGATAAAACTTAGAGTTAAGAATGAAATTCTAATGAAATCAAATTAAATAGAACACTCGAGCAAAGTAAGTGCAACTGATGCATCCCTGAGCTCTGCTACTGTCAGCATATTTGCATTTACAGGTTATCTGGACGGGGCAGCCCCACCTGATTCCCAACCATAGACCCACACGTAGGTCCTAATACAGAATTGTATTTAGGCCTCATATTGTAAACCAATAGGCTAAGGTAAGTTTGTGAGCTTTGAAGGTTGGGAAGAGAATGCTGGTGAGAGCTGAAGTTCTGAAGAGCTGGGAATGAAAAGGAATGAGGGCCAAAAGTCCTTTTTTAGGAGACCAAGTCCCCTATTTATAACCAAGGGTTGCCATGTAAATTTGCATGGCTTCCTGAATATTTTTGAGCGTTGTAAGTTAGGGCTACAGATCCCAGAATTTCCTTGTGTGAGGACACACATCAAGGGGGACCACATACTAGCTTGCATGCACCTCAAAGTGCCTCGGGTAAGGATGCATGTTACAGGCTCTCATTAGCTGATGCCACGTGCATGGGCCATGCAACGGCCCATTTAATTTCCAACAAAACCCACTTCAAAATAAAATAGGAAAGTTTGTTGAATTGGTCAGCACTGTTTTTTATGTTATTTGAAATTCAAGTAGTTGTTATGTTATTTGAAATTCCAAGTAGTGATTCTGCTGATATCTGTAACCTTTTGCCTTGAAGTTTGAGGTATGGTAATGAAAAAAGAATTTTTTTTGGTAAGTTAGATTATTTTTAGTACTATGCAATTAAGAAATTTTGGGATGCCATGAAAGTGACTTTTTTTTTAAGTGACATTGTTAATTTTTTGTGTCCTTACATGGATTCTGTAATCTTGGACACCGGCCATGCATTTTCATTATTTAATCTTTCTATTTATCTCCTGTTGCTGCACAATTTTATTAGAACTTCTGATTTGTAGAGGTTGTTACTATTTTATTTTCATTTTGTTTCATTTCTTTTTCCTCCCTTCTTTGTCGTAGCATTACTCTGTTGCTTAGAAATCAAATCTCCCAATTTTGGATCTTCTACTATAATCTGAAATGAACTGTATCTGGTCACCTCAATTTTTCTATTTTCACTGCCATATGTGATGTAGTTGAATAGTCATTTACTTCATCTTTCTAAATCGATTGCCATCATCATCATCATCTAAGCCTCATCCCAGCTATATGGGGTTGGCTACATGAACCCTGTTTCACCATTCCATTCTGTTTAGTGCCATATCCATTGTTAAATTATGATCTCTTAATTTCTTACTACTTCAAGCCATGTCATGTATCTTGAAAATAAGGCCTATCAACTTTGTCTGACTTGATTCGTTTGTTACATTTAAAAATGTGGTTGAAAATTTTTTGGTTTTATTTTATATATGAGGATTATCATACATTCCAGTTTTTCTTCTTCAGAGCATCTCTCCAGCACAGGCTAAAAGGTTTACAAAGTTCAGGGAGAGGAAAGGCCTTATTGAGAAGGATGTGGTACTGCTGAGTTTAACTGTAACCTTGTTTATAGATCCATATACCTTTTTAACTTGTTCAATAATATTCCAAGGATAAGTCAGGATTAAATTATAAGCTGTTAATTACATGTTTTATTATGTTCCAAGGTAAGAACCGATAGATCTATTTCTTTCTACGATGGAGATGACAATACAAATGTGGCGCTTTTACATGACATACTTCTGACGTACTCATTCTACAACTTTGATCTTGGTTATTGTCAAGTAAGTGCTTGATCATATTGGTAGTGACCAAGTGTTTTAAAGTTACATAATAGATTATTCTGTTAATGACTATAAATTCTCCTGTTTTAGTATAAGCAAATTAGTGCAACAGTGAATGATTGCACAATGTTTAGCTATTGATCCAAATTTGTGTATATTTATGTATGAATGTATATGTGTATATAATATATGCTTTTTTAAGGATAACTAACTCCATTGAAGTTTATATTATTTCTCAAAATTCTGTTTTCTCTAACTTTTCCATTTCTTTTATTCTCCTACCCTCTAATACTGCCTAGTTTCAACTTTCTTGTCCAGATATTGTTACTTGCATTTGGGCATATTTTTTTAATTTTATCAATTGCAATAAAGCGTTGAGCTATTCTCTCAATTATTCTATATATAATCTTGCCATTCAGATTTGGTCATTCAGTTGATTGTGGTTTATTTTTTCCCAATTTTATAGGGTATGAGTGATCTCTTGTCTCCAATATTATATGTAATGAAGGATGAATCTGAGTCATTTTGGTGTTTCGTTGCGCTGATGGAGCGTCTTGGTCCCAATTTTAACCGTGACCAAAATGGAATGCATTCCCAGCTCTTTGCATTATCAAAGGTCTGTGATATGACTAAATCTTTTTGTGCACACCAGGCATCTAATTTTATGCTTGAGAGCTTGTATTACAAACATGTTATGCTCCATCATATTGTTTTTCTTGCACTTTTATTTGGAGTTTCGGACATATGCCATGATTTCTTAGAAATATCATAGTCTTGATTTATCAACTAGGGCTGTCAATGAATAGATGCCAGGTTGGCTTGGCTGATCAGTTTTGTGGCTTGAGAATTAACCTGAGCATTTTTTTTTTTTGAGAAAAGTAACTGAATTCGTTGAAAAAAGAGAGGGTACACAAGGAGGTGTACAAAACAAACAGGGGTCAGACCTCTAAAAATTACACAGGAGGAAGTTTATCACAGTATAATTCCTCTAGAAGAGAACCTAGTTTTTCTAACCCATCTGCAATAGCATTAAATTCCCTTGTAATCCAGAACAGATTTGCATTTGAAGAAGCCAATAAGTCCCTTGCCTCTGCCAGAAAGTGGCTGAGTCTCCATGGTCCAGCCTCCTGCTTTCCTAACCATTTTATGGTGTTTGCTGAGTTGCCTTCAATGGAGAGGTTCTGAATGTCCAGTCTGTTGATTAATCGGATCCCTGTAAGTACAGCCAACTTCTGCCTTGGTAGAATCAGCTATACCAATCGGTCCACTGTACACCAATTGGTAGAATTAACCTGAGCATTAAGCCAAATTGTTATAAAGAACTTAAGCTGAACTATGGTGGTATTGATTCTTCTATCTATTATAATGGCATGTTCATGTAAATATTTTAATTTATTGTTAATTTTCATTTGTTTATCCAAATCGGGGCTATTGGGCCTTGGATTTTGGGTTATATGGTATTGCAAATTTTGAGTCTTTTGGGTGTTAATGGACCCAACATTGCAACTGGACTTGACTGAAGATGAGTTAACTCCATCTTAGACTAAACTCGTAAGTTGTAACCTTTGCTCATCATGAGCCTAAATGGAGCCTGAGTGTAAGTCAAAGTTGATCTAGATATGAGCTGACTAGGATTGGTTTACTTCATATGGTATGTGGTCATAGATCTGGTTTTTGGTCTGTCACTAAACAATATAGCTTTCCTCAGTACCATATTCTAAAAATTTTGACCAAACATCATTAATTTTAAATTCTTGATCTTAAAGTAGGAAATTTAAATAGATATCTTTTGGTAATCCAGGGAAGTATTCTTTATGAAGGTAATTTTATGACTTAAAGTGGCTTTTATGTACAAAATTACTTCCTAATTGTTCAGAATATCCTTAAAAGATAGAATCTTACAAAATCACTTTGGATTTATTATAAATATTATCAGGTAAACTTTTAATTTTGTGGTTCTTGGAGAAATCACATGTTCAACTATGCAAGTATATTAGGCATACAGTGCAATTGGGATGACAACTTTATGCAACCACTATGCGTTATTAGTCTATATTGCTCTGGGAAAACCTATTATTAATTGTTATGTTTGTGCCTTGAATTCTTTGTAGCGACCCGCTTCATGAATCCGCTCCGAAATAATTTGAGAAAAACCCGAAGGCAAAATTTCATAGTGGTTTGTGGTGGAAGCATAGGGCTTGGGCCGCTAGGACCCGACCCATTTTCATCTTATAGGTCTGAACTGAATACGAAGAGTTATGTATTTCGGGGGTTTTCTCTCTTGTATACTTCGTCTTTGTCTTGGGAGAGAAGAGTTAGACATTGGGGTGTATTTGGGATTTAGGGTTTTCTGTGAGTGAGGTTGTGAGTGCACAACTCTGTATTTCTTCTCCATTTCTGACTATATAGTGCACAACTCTCTTTATCTCTGCACTTGCTTCTCTTTAGGGTTTTCTGTTAGTGAGGTTGTGAGTGCACAACTCTGTATTTCTTCTCCATTGCTGACTACATAGTGGATTTCTGCTCCTCCTTCGCCCGTGGGCGTAGGCTATAAGCCGAACCACGTAAATCTGTGTGTTCTCTGTACTTCTCTTTATCTCTGTTTTACTTTTATTTTAGGTGCCATTCGAATATGCTTTTCTTGGGTTTTTCGTAACATTAATTTATTTTTGATGGATAACAGATGACTTTTATTGAAATAATAAAAGAATTAGGTTTATATATGCTGATAAAAAAAGAATTAGGTTTATATGCTGGCCACTGCCACCTAAGCCACAGCACCTATTGTTAAATTAATAAGCACTAGATTAGTTGGTGCAATGATCCAATTGCTAATTTGCACTTAGGAAGTCATACCGGATTAGGATTCTTGGCATCTTTGATTTGTGTTTCCAGAAATGCTTTCTTTTTTAACGTGTACTGTGTCATTTATCCAAACAACCCCTCCAATATCTAGGTGCAATTACAGAATTTGTTTAGTTAGACTGCAGTTTCATGACTCTTCTGTCAAGGATATTTCTGGATTTAAGTGCGCCATAATTGATCCTATGAAATAGTTATACATGCTTTCATGTGTGTGTGTCTGTGTGTGCTTTTCCTACATGAGTGTTCATTGGTCTAGTCAGCTATATCTACATTTTCCTCAGGAATATGTGCTTTTTATTAATGTTATAGCATTGTTTGACTATTGCAGCTGGTGGAGTTGCTAGACAGTCCATTGCACAATTATTTCAAGCAAAAGGATTGCTTGAACTACTTCTTTTGTTTTCGCTGGGTTCTTATACAATTCAAGAGGCAAGTGAAACTATTAAGAAATGCGCCAATTGGATTTACTTGTTGATTACTTTTTATTGCTGTGATACGAGTTTTTGTTACATGAAAAACATAGTGCTTCTATGTATCCATTGCATAAAATCCCTAGTAACCTTCTTTCTTATCAAATGTGTTCATAATTTGAGCCTTTGTCTGATCCCTATGTACTTGTGACATGAAGGACAAGTCTTCACTACTGCCTCAATTTCATGGTGAAGGTCTTATATAATTGTAAAATTGCAAATGGAAAACATGTAAATTTTTTTGTTCTATCAAGCAAGGTTATAAAATTCAAATCTGTTACCGTGGGCATTTTCCACCTCTGTTTAGCTTGAATCATTAAAATGGAGGCGTGTGGATATTATATAGGTCTCTGCTAAGGAACTTGAGCTTTGTTATAGCTTACAGGGTGATAGTATTTCTGCTCTTGAAGAATGTGTAAAAGTTAATTGTTGCATCAATAATGCCTGATTTTCTAATTCAGTTTGATCTATGTTATTTTCAATTGTCTTTTCTTTTCTTGTGAAAAGCGAAATAGTAAATTGTGTGAACCCAAAGTATTAGTTTGATTTTACTCTGATACTTGCTACATATTTTACAGGGAATTTGAATACGAGAAAATAATGCTCTTGTGGGAGGTACTTTGGACACATTATTTATCTGAACATCTTCACCTGTACGTATGTGTTGCAATCCTGAAGAGATACCGCAAGAAGATAATGGGAGACCAGATGGACTTTGACACGGTCTTGAAGTTCATTAATGAGCTAAGTGGCCATATTGATCTTGATGCAACTCTCAAGGATGCAGAGGCTCTGTGCATGTGTGCAGGCGAGAACGGTGAAGCTTGCATTCCACCTGGGACCCCGCCATCCTTGCCCATTGAAGACACTGGTTCACTGTACCCTCAACAAGATGATGACTAAAAAAATACCTGTTCTTTGGAAGGTCGCTCTGTGTAGTATCCTGAAAGAATATACGCCCAGATTCTAATTGATCACTTGTAAAATGAACTCTTGTGTTCAACTTCATACATTTCTATATTTCTATTGTAATTGAAAAAAAGTTCCTGTTCTTTGGGTACTTGGAGTTTATCATGTAATATAATGTAATTTTCATTTGTTTTTTTGAAATTGTCACATTAGCAAAAAACATAAGAAGACATTCTTGAACTGTACTTTCGTTTTGAGAAGGAAGAACAAATCGGTTTGCCATCAAAATAATGATTTTAAAAACAAAAACGAATTTTGTAGTACAGATGTTTATATGATTTATGGAACATGATATTAAACAAGTTGATGAAAAGATGTTCTTTAAATAAAAAGCTAAACATATTTTTGGTTTTGGTTTTGGAAACGAAAAATACATATACAATCAAGAACATGGTATATGTGCTTTTGTTTTGAGAATCAATTTGTTTTGAAATCATATGGTTTTGATTTATTTGGAACTCACAAGAAAAACAATTCACAATGGAGAAAACCCTCTAAGTGTTTTTCTCAATCTCGCTTCCTTCTCTTGGTGTGCAGATTAGATACGCTTAATCAAATGCTTAAAACTATCATTCTTTGTGGTTGTTTTTGTGAAATGTAGTATAAGTTCAGATCCTCATAGGCCCACTCTCCGGATCATTCGAACAGATACACCAACAAACTTTAGGGGACGTAGGAGCCGTTTGACAAGGGACGAAGTGGGTAGACTTGACTTATCCACTTGTCTTCTAGTGGATAACAATATAGTAATCAACCTAACTCAGCTTCATCCATTAAGGAGTTCGCAACCTACTTAGGCTGTATTTGACACTCGACTTATCTCCTTTTTGCTGTTAAATTGCCCCTATAAACACTATAAACACTGAGTTTTTAACAGCAAAAAAGGAGATAAGTCTTTAAAATAAGGAATGCCAAATGCAGCCTTAATAACTGATTTAGCAATTTAACAATGAAGTCATTGAATTCAGCCACAATTCGATGTGCCTCAAGGGTGAAACATATGCTCAAATGCTCAATGGTTCAGGTTGAGGAAACTCTTGTGCACATGTCATGTTATGCTGCAGATTTCCTGTATCAGTCGCCCAGTGAAAAAAGCTTGGAATTAGGATTTCAAAGTAATTGATCTACAATTTGCAAGCGTAAATCACAAGACAAAACTTCACCCCATTCTCGATAGTAGACTACTAGATTCGGTATTTCTCAGAAAGAATAGAAGTTCTAATTCTCACCGGCATCTCTACACTCTACCTGTTGGATCTCCGAAAGTACACAGTTCAAGTGTTCTTTAAAATAATTCAGGCTTTTGAAATCCTTCAGTGGTTGGAGTCAGACAACAGAATGAATCAACCCATATTTGGTCATGGCTTTAGGTAGATACGTACGGTTCTATACGTACCATAGAGCTGTATCATGAGATATAGATGTGCCAGTGCCATTAGTTCTCCTGCCAATGGGAGCTGATGAAAGTGAAGTAATGCCATGAAGAAGCAGCTCCGATTCATGGTTGTACATATGCATGTGGCTCTATGTTGATATTTCTGTATTTTCACTGAATAGAGAGATACGGATCTTTTATTCACAGATTATTGATCAGACTTCCATTGCAACTGAATTAAAGTACGTACTAACACAGAATAATTATAGTTTAACAGTAAGTGCAAACCTGAACAGAGGGGACAATGAAGTGACTGTTACATATAAGTAGAAGATTATGAGTCACCTCCCTGAACAAACTGACTACAGTAGGACTGGATAGAATTCCTCAGGAAAATAGAACTGAGATTCAAACAAAATGTTGGGTTCTAGTTGCAGCAGAAAATCGTCCTCGTAAACTGTCTCCTGGCCGGCAGAGAGCTGAGATTCTACGTCGTTGTCGGCACTTCTGTTGACGCCATTGGAGGAGGAGGTAGTTGCCTTGTCGCCACCTTGATCGTCTAGTTTCATGGTGGAGCTGTTAGGACTTGAGCTGCAAATGGGTTGAGAATTGGTTGAATGAGAGAGCTTCCTCCTCTTTGAGTCGGAGACCACTTTTTTGCATTGAGGATACTTTTTAATCAGATGGGTGTTCCAGTAATTCTTTACTTCATTATCAGTTCGACCAGGGAGCCTACCTGCAATCAACGACCACCTTCACCCCCCCAAAAAACAGATTATTTCTTCAACTCATAAGAGCTACTATAGATTGGATGAATGTACTCCTGTTTAGAAATTCCAGTCCAACTGACTAGAACTTCATCACCCGCCGAAGAGAAACATTAGAAAAATTAAGCAACTGACCGGTTGCCAAGAAGATTATGCATTCTAATGATAAGGTCTTCTTCTTCCTCTGTCATCCCTCCACGTTTAATGTTTGGCCGGAGATAGTTTTTCCATCTCAGTCTGCAGCTCTTTCCTCCTCTCATCAAGCCTGTCCAAAGAGAGAGTAAGAGGAAAATTGGGACAGTTGATTAGTAGCTACTCATATAAAAAAAAAAAAAGAAAAAACATTCCTGCACATCAATAGAACAGAGGGAGCATCACCTGATCTCTTGGAAACAGTTGCCCACTTTCCCTCTCCATGAGTTTCTATGTATTTCTTAAGAAGTCTGTCTTCTTCTGGATTCCATGGACCTTTCTTAAGCACTTGCTTGGTTCCTTCTCGTTCCATCTCTCTCTCTCTCTCTAAAGGAGTGAATATACTTTGTATGACAACATAGGAAATGGGATGCTTTAAATAGAAGAAGTGAAGATGGCTTTCCTTCCAAGAGCTCTTTACTCGTGCATGGAATTCCCTATTAGCAATGTTCAATGATTGAAGCAAGGGTCCTACACTGCTTTCAGCCTTTCACTTTAGCTTTTCTCTTGCCCTTTGAAAGCAAATCTGTGTTCTCTTCAAACGTGGGGACTGAAAGATTTTACACTTCATGATCATGGGCACTATCATAGTTTGATGTGAGAGATTATGTTCATGTATACAAAGTGAAGGAGCCATTCATGGTGAACAGTGATAAAATTCACACTCCTTTAGGGAAGTCGAGTCCACAGTTTTTATGGATAGGATCTAACCTTGGATGGCCTTCCTTATTGAACTATTGAGGATAGCCATCCGATCTTCCAATCCATATAGGTTATCTGATCATCATGGTGCACCCCATGATCTGGGAGGTATATTATCAACCTTAAAATAGTTGGTATATCAATACCCAACTCCTAATACCCTTGATTTTATTTATTTACTTATTTGTTTTTGTAGCCTTGTTGTTGGAGTGTAGCTCTTTATGGGTCCCATGCATGGATGTGGTCCATGACACTAAGATTCCTTGTCAAATATCATAGGAAATGGTTCCGTATAATGATCTGATTCCTCTAATTTTATTCCTCTTTCTTTATGCATCATAAATCTAAAGTTAATGGCGTCCTCAGTGGAAGCAAAGGGACAAATGACAAAGAGAAGTGTCAGCAGAGCTAAGCAGCTAGCATCCTAGCTAGCTACTCTATCCTCTCAGTTCATTCATTCTTAATCTCTACTCACTTGAATTCAGAGACCCCATCCCAGTCTTCTTTAAATATTTAAAATAAAAACCACCAACAATAAATAACAAAGCTACCTCCCCACTTTCTTGTTGATGCTTGACTCATATCTGTCAACTTTTTTGATTTTTTTTCCACCAAGTATACTTGATTTAAAGAAGATTAAAACCATTGAGTGAGGATATTCTCAACATATAATAATTATAATTCTAAAGAAATCACTCACAAACCCATAATTCTTTTTTCAAGCATGCAAGGGAAAGCCAACGTAGATAGGCCAAATATTGTTTATGTTCGATCTGCTACAGCTCTATAATCCCACAGTGGAGTACCTCTTGAAAGGTTAAATGGATACAAAAACCTGAAATTGTGTGAGGAAGGATATTCTCAACATATAATTAAAATTCTAAAGAAATGGGTCACAAACACATAAGATTTTTCTTTTCAAGCATTCAAGGGGAGAGCGCAACGTAGATAGCTAGGCCAAAGGTTTGTCTAGTCTGTTACAGCTCTATAATCTCACTGTGGAGTGTGGACTAGCTCTAGAAAGGTTAAATGGAACAAAAGCCTGAGGCTTTCTTTTGTTATGACTCATATCAGCTGAAACTTGTCACGTGCTTGGAAAATGATATTTCCCATGCATGACCCATCCCCTAACAAATTAATTTAGTAAAGCCCAAAGTTCTTTGTGATATGGCAAACATGTGGGTCTCTTCTAGGTTTTCCACAAAAGCTGACCACCCCTGTTCTCTAACAGAGTTAATTAAATGTCCAAATGTAATCTGTTTGGGTATGGCCCAAGCTTTCAAGCCTGAAGCCTGCCTATAGCTAGAGCATAGAAGATGGGTTGTATGCAATGTTAGTCTAATATTATTTATCCTTACCATCCTTCTAACAAATTCAAACCTTCCATCCATAGGGTACCCCCTAGTGATCAATTTCATTCTCATACGAGCTCACTATGTCCCTCAAAAATGTGTTCATCAGCTCCTTGATAAAATAAAAGTTAGAAGCTGACCTAAAAGGGTACCTAAAATTTTAGGTATTAATTAAGATAGCATATGTATTGACAGACTAATGAAATGGATTGTAACAATAGCCTTACTTTAGGTTCAAAGGATGCAATAGTTTATACAACAATGAACAGTGTGTAAGTTGGATATCCTTATTGGTTTAATTACATGGTGCAATGCGCAGAAAATGGGTCCATTTGTTGATGATGAGCCCCAGATAACAGACATGAAAAGTTTAGAATGGAAGAAAGCTTCTCGTATGGCTTGTTAATTACTACTAGGGGTTATTGTTGTTGTTAGACGAATCATGTCTCACGTGTAGGTGGGCCGATAGTTGCAAACCTAGAATCAAACTTTTCTAGGGCCAAAAAGTTCGGGTTTGATGATCCGAACCGCTCGTCCATGGTGTTCTTTTGAACCATAAAAAATGACTGAGAAACCCTTTTTGAGATTGAGCCTCTCAGCCTCACAAGTCACAACAACTTACTAGGCGGTGGAAGTTTCCTGGGTCTTTCACTAAACCCACTCTCATCATTACAAAACAGTTATCGGGTCGGGCAACATAGCATTTGAACCAAAAAGCAGATACACCTTTAAGAAGTTATGATGGGTATCTGCCATTGCCGTTCATGAATGTAATAAGAAATCTTCTCCATTATTCTTATTATTTGCTACATTGGAAAGCTCTGCAACAACCCATGTTTCTCTTTCATGTTTTTAGCATCAAAAGCAAAAATCAAAACTTTGGAACTTGCAGAGAAGATGACAAAAGTTTCATGGACCCTTTCAAGTATAGCCAAGAGCTGTATCACGAGAGTACATGGATGGAGAAGAATACTGAGTGGGATTTGCTTGGGTTCAGTCTTCCAATATTGGTTTGAACAGCTCTGAGCTTTGAAGCTCTAAGAATGGCCAAAGCTGCAAAAGAAGCTTTTCTTTGTACATATGGTCTGTCTGAGACATGGAATGTGATGTTACACATTCACAAACTCTCAGTCCTGGTGCAAATCTGTCTGGAAAAGCTATGGCTTTTAAGCTGGCATAATTTAGGCTTTGGGTAGTGATTCTTTCACTTTCCAAGCATTCAATTCAAGTAATATATTCCACTTTCTGAAAGCCCTACGAATCTTCCCTAAAGTAATAGAGTGACCCCCTGCCTCCTCTCTCCATCATTCCTGCACCAAAGCCCCATGTGACACGCAAAACATGGTGTGAGGCTGTGAGCTGTGAAGTGGTTCAGAGGATCAATACTATTCCATACTGTAGTGATTGTCTAGTGTCACAACAAGCTTACCTTTGATGTACATTAAAGCCTTATATGTAATGGAGGCATGGAGCCACACTGCTGCTCAATTGGGAATTTGGATAGACATGGTTCATCTTTTGGCTCCTTTCCTCTTTTTAGCTTTTCCTTTCTCCCACTGAGTGACTTGGCTGTTTTCTACAGGAAAGCTAATAGGGCAGCAGCCTGGCCCTGGCCCTGGCCCTTGCCCTGCCAATCCAAATCAGTTTGTGATTTGGGTTTGCTAAGGGTGGACATAATCATATCTCCACCTTCCATTTTATAGGGCAGATTTGAGCCTAAAAGCATTTTTCACATATAGAAAGAAGTCTTTTCATTTTATATTTCTGAGTTAAAATGTTAAAGCTTTTGGCAGCTAGTTTCTCATGGGCAAAGCTCCAATATAATGTGGGGTTAGGACTACAGGTTCTAGATTGTAACCCATGTTTCAAAGTTTCCAACAGACTTTAATTGCTAATATGGCTCCATTTGTTTGCAATGCAAATAGATGGTGTAAATGCATGGGAGTGCAAATGGGATGAGTATTGTAAATTCCGATTCACTTTTGTTTTAAGTTTACTTTGTTTTGTTTGTTTGCAGGAGTAAAATGGGAAGGAGAATGATATGGTCCCCATTTTATATAAAAGAGAATGAAGGCAGAAGAAGTTTTTTTCTTTTTGTCTAGGAATAAAAAAAAAAAAAAGTAAAATGATGCAATCCCCACTTTATATGAGAGAGAATTAAGGTAGGAGAATGGTGAGAATCAATTTTTAAGATGCAAAATTTACAAAATGAGTGCAAATGAGACAATATATATGTGTGTGTGCATATGTGGTAGTAGCATGTACCAAAAGAAAGTATTGATTAATTGATTCATTTGTATTTGCTCTAGTCCACTTGGCAGTGAATCATGAGGAAGGCCCATTCCACCTCAGCTGCATGCCCATTGTCACATTACTTGCTCAAATCTTTACCAGTTGGCAGTGAATCATGAGGAGGGGCCTATGCCACCTCAGCTGCATGCCCATTGTCCCATTACTTGCTCACATCTTTTTAAGTACTCTTCTCTCCTATGGTGGAGTCTAGTGCTTATCAAGGTCTCTAGGGCCCAAAAATCAGCCTTCAACCCTTTTTTGGATAAGAGAATCAAGGAGAGGCTATCGATATGTCCAAGTCCAATACCCAAAGTTGGGTATCGGTGTTTATCAATATGATTTATATTTACCTGTTATTATTATTTTTTTTATTTTATAATTATTAATGGGTTAGAGAAAAAACGTGAAACATTTTAAATATTTTAATTTTTTTTATAATTATTATGGTTTTTGGCTTGGGAATCGTTCAGGCAATCGGTTCCGTTTTACTCCAAACCTGGTATTTGGCCAAAAACCATTAAAAAAGTCAACATCCCATTGACCCTGGTGGTCAAATTATCAACCCGTCGACCCATTCAACGATTTTTGATCATTTTTTATTTTTAATTATTTTTTTATATTTTTTTAATTTTTTTATCAGAATTAATTATTTGTTCGAACTGGATAATCAAACTGCCAACCCAAAAAACGGTGGCCAAAACGATTCCATTTCTGAGTAGTTCTTTTAAAACGTTGATCACGTGCATTATATATACATATCTAAATACACTAATACTCATAAACTTGATATCTATATTTTAGTCTTGGAGTCAACAACCTGTCTTAAAAGAGAGATTGCTTAGATGTTCAAACCAAACAAACTAAGAGCAAACCCTACTTTGGTGAACCTGTGGCTCCATATACATCTGTGCATGCATTATTGCTATAAACTAACTGGCCAGTTTATGATTCTCACATTTCTTATTTTTCCAAGGAAGTGATAGGGGCAC